AGGTGCTGATTTAATATCTATAGGATAATAGGAACTCAAAGAAATTGAGTAATTAAGAATACAGTCACTTTTATGTGCATAAAAAGATGCATCGCGAGTGGGGTAAGAAATTAAGTACGAGAGAGGATAGCTTGTGGACAGGCAAGCCAAGCTGAGGAAATTGAGAAAGTCTAAGAAAAGAAAGCATAAGAAAACGTGGAATGTGTCGTGTACTAATCCACATGAAGCTGCAAAACCAGGCCAGCCAGGCACAGTCAGAACTAGCACATGCCCTTGCCAGTGCTTTCCATTTACCTCCTTCCTAGAGTATTTATTAGCGTAAATATCACTGCTTGGTCTTGTTTTCTAGTGCGGACGGTCAAATTCCAGACCCTTGATTCTACTTCTGAAGCTCTCTTACTGTCTTAGGACAATCCAAGGGTTTGAGTACAAGGACCACATTCTCTGGTGTGAGAGACCGCCTGAATGAAAATTGGGATGGTCAATCCTGCACATGATCAGTCAATGGGGACGCTTTTACAGTAACGTGGCCAGACCTATATGTTTCCCCGGACTTGCATTATCCATTCTATTCAGTTTTATGCCAACTTAGTCCCAGCTCTAGCTATGTCTGCCATGCTCGTGCTCCCTATGGAAGCATGGCATCTCCTTTCAGCTTTTGTGTTTTTTTTTTTTTTTCCCAAATAATGAAATTAAGCTTGCAAAGGGAAAGCTTCCAGGCTTGAAGTAATTTGGTGGGATATAAAAAAGACTAATAATAATAATAATAAAACTGAGGACCTCAAGAAATTGCTACGTCCACCGCAAGTTCTTAAAGTTGTTAATTACAATGATCAAAGATTGAAAAAAAGGAAAATATTCGCAGGGTTGGATGCTTGAGAGCTTATTAAAATTACTTCTTGTTATTTAATTTTAGTTTTTTTTTTAAAGTCTTCAGATTGGACAATTAAAATTATATGCATATATATGCAACTAATGTTTTGGGTTTTTTTTTGTAACTTGCACACCATTTCATTAGGTCAATATTATACTCATTTTTTTCAAGACAAAAATACTTGTTCTGGCCTTCACATAAAATGATTTAATTGAGAATAAGCAGACACTCTGTGAATCTAAAGTGAGAAGAGGATTGTATCTTAATCATTAATATTATTTTTTATATTTAGAGACAATGGGATATTTTTGAATAAATTTTTGTATAAATCGATACTAAATTTATCACTTTCTAGATTAAACAAACACCTAAATATATTTAAATTTTGATAAGCTACTAGGTTTTTTTAGACTGATTTAAAATAAAACATAATTATAATTAATTATTTGTGAACAGTATGTAGGAATTGAAAGAAAGTGTCTCAATTAAATCATCCATATAAAAAGTTAAATTTGCTCGCATGAGATTTATATGTATGTCAATTTTATCTTAAAAGTTTAGTTTGTTTTAATTAGTTCCTACAGTTTTCATTGTAGTTTTGATTCTTCTCTCCGTCCATTTCCGTCTATAATAATAACAAAATATATAAATTTTAATTTCATCTTTAATACTTAATGAGTATATATATCTTAACATCACGGTAAAAGTAAGAATCAACAAATCAAATTAAAAATAAATAATTAAAGAAATATATGTATTTTTTTAATTGCAAAACAATAATGAAAAAAAAAAGTTTCTTTTTTCCTTATCAACAATCTACGATCATTTGATAATACAAGATAAGATTAAGTTAAAAAAACAAATATAAATATATTTTTTTCTATCCTCACTATCCATTGCACATTTTAACTAGCATATTATATTTACACGTTATATCCAATTATGTGTCATGAATACTTGAACAAGAATTCTGAAAAAAACCTCATATGGTGGAAATGATAGTTTGAGAACAAGACAAGTTCAATATCAGCTGAAGTGTAAAAAAATCAAGATAGAGAGACGAGAACAGTAAAGGTTTTAACAAATTGTTTAATGAATAGAATTAGGTTCATTTAAATATTGATTTTTAACTGAATATTGGTAAGGAAAAATATGTGATGTTGTTATCAAGTGACAATTGAAGTCGATAGATTTTGAATTTTTTTTTGAAAAACCAAGAACTCCTCAAATTTTCATCATACTTGTTTATATATATCGGTTTTATGTTTTTATTTTTGCTAATTTTCAATTCATTTATTGTTTTACTTGTAAGAAGAAGGTTCATAAATATTTACCTGCACAATATTTTTCAAACCAACATTTAAAACTCTCACACATGATGTTAGGTTAAAATTTCTTATGGTTGACTGTGAGCCCCTACAGGGCCTGCACCGTAGTTTGTTGGTGGCAACCTAAGCAGACTTCCACGAGCAGCCGATGATTTGAGACAATGGGCCATGAATATGCTGGAAGTTGGAACATGGGAAGTGGCAAGTGGCATCTATGGCTGTTTTCAAAGGCATTCCTTTATTAATTAGCTGGTGTTTGATTCGACTTCTTACATTTTTAAACAAGTTTAGTGATGCCAAAAATGGAAAAAAAGGTCATATGCTTTCATAAAAAGGCCAGCTCCGAGACAATCAGAGATGGGATTATAGCCAATTGGAATTTCTCAAGCCAATAATTTAGTTTCCAATGTTTTGATTGATCCTCTTTTGATGATTTGCACGATTATTTATTTGAAAAATAAACTAAAGTACTTCTTTCATTTCATTTTTTTACCAATAAAATTATAATCGAAAATGAATATGACCATATAAGGAAGTTCTATTAATTTGATATATACTAATTCTGATATATTTTACATCTCCTGCTTGATATTTTTGAAACTTAATTGCTTTTATTTTTCTTCTTTTTTCCGAAATTGAAACTACCTTGTTTTGGAATGGAGGAAAGGAGCTTTTATACGTAAGACTTGCACTATCTGCTTCAGCTTCGGCAAATAAAGGATCAAGGCCAAAACCTTATAACCATAACATGCAGAGGTGGGTCGCAGGCATTACAGAACCACTTGAAGAATTTTAAAAAAAATTATTATTACATCAAAGTCTGATATAAATATTTTTCTTGAATCATTTCTAAGCAAGTCGATCCATTTCACGGTGACGAAAAGTATCACTTATTTTGATTGAATTCACTCTTAAGTTATTCGAGTTAATTGAAGCCCATTATATATCGTCAATCTACTGCTCAATCACAAGCCAGAAAAGGATGATCAAATAAGCCCCAAATACGGAGCCCAGGGTACTCCAAGCTCTGATTTGCACAACCTTGGCCGACCAGGCCATGCCTGTGCCATTTAATGGGAAAAACCACATAAAGTCCCCGACCTATCGTGACAATCTAGATTAGATCCCCAGTTTACGCTTTGTCTGTTAAATCACCAACTTATCAATAGATTCTTTAAATCCTTCAGTCGATTTCAGTTACTAAAACCATTAAATAGACAGGTGAAATTCACGTTAATTAGAGTTATTTTGTTTCGTTTTATTGCTCGTTCTATCATGATGGGCAAGTTTTAGTAAATTCATGAATTGTTTTTTAAGGATAGAGAAGTAGTTGGATGATTTTCAAGTGACTATTTAATAGTTTTATTCACTAAAACTAATGAAACGATTTAAGTGGGAATCAATTCGTATGGTGGAGATCTAATCGAGAGACGAAAAATAGATTGGGGACCTAATCAAGATTGCTTCTACAGGTTACTAACTCTTTTTTAGGCATCCCATTTAATTATTTACTACAAGTATTTAGTTTATTTACACAAAAAAAATATGGATGAGCTGAAAAAAAAAAAAAAAAATTATCGGCTTTGCCTATCTAAAAACGGAACATATTCTAAATAATTTTATAATAATAAAAAGCACATATAAGTTAACGTTGCCATTCTTCGTAGACTATATATACAATTTGGAAAGCAAATCCAAAGTTATTCATTCATCTTTTATTTCGGTACAAGGTATTCGTCACTTTACTTTTCTTGATAGTATATAAATTCCTTGATAATGCAACTTCACTATAAATACAATTTGGACAACAAATCCAAAAATATATTATATTGTTTTTTAAAAAAATTTATGTGTGCGCATAGGGGTTTGAATCCTCTCTCTTTCTCTCACGCATCTTAGCATACAGATTGTAATATAAAGTATAGAGAAAGAAAATAATACTATTAACTAAAACTGGATATTTATTCAATCTTGGATTTTTATGAAGGAAGTTGAATTAGATCGAAAAATAAATATTAAACTTTTGACACCATTTTTTAGCTCGACGTGAAGTTCAAACTTGGTTTGATTTAATTCAAATAAAATTTTTGAATATCAAGATATTCGATTCGATTATTTCTATCCTAAATATTGTAAAATAGGAATAACTATATAGTCCAACAACTATTCGATGGACCCCGATCAGTAATTTCATTCTAACTTACCAAACATTAAATATGTTTTATTAGTTTTTTGAACTCCTTTGTGGTCATGCACTGCCCCGATCAAAAGGTGTCTTTTAAGAAAATAATAATCCCCAAATACAGAGACCAGGGTCCAAGCTCCCCACACCTCGGTCAGCCCAGGCCATGCCATGGACCGTTATTATTATTATTTAAGAAATTAGAACTTCTTTGGGGCATGTGGATAAGCTCATTATTGATGTTAATACTAGATAAGATCAAAATAGAAATGTCATTCACATAAGAACAAAGTTAAAAAATCATTCTCTGATGTCCGTTTTCTTAATGGAGTAGCCAGCCCATGTTTTTCCAGCAATTAAACAGAAAAGGGATAAAAAAGAATAAGAAGTAACAACGTTGAGGATTACAGCCAGCAGCTAAAACTCCAAAATTAAGTACAGGGAGAATAAAAGGCTATAGACACTGAAAAAGAAATAAAAAAAAATCTATAGACCTTTGCTTCACGATGAAAGCATGACCAAGAAAAAATGGTGTAAGAAAAAAAGGACATGTAAACCTCTACAACAATTCGAAGTTATACCCATCTTCTAGTTTTGGTAACTCACAAAACCCATTTTACTCTTCCTCGATGGTAAATAAATTCCTTGCATATTCTGATGCCACCAAACTTCCATCACCAGCGACAACACGAGCACGATACCTGCCATCTAAGCATGCTTGCAGGATCATGCTACCAAGCTCCGAATTGCCTTGGCTCAAGTGTGCCTGTGCCATCAACTCCTTCAGTTGCGTTGTGGTCATACGCACCTTGATTCTTAAACTGCTTGATGATGGACTAACGAGGTTGGTTTTAGCATCCTCGCCATCTTGGTCCAGTGGGTGCACCGTCTGATAATTCCTTGCAAACCAATTCCCCATTATTGCTCTGATATCTCTTTCTAAGCTTAACTTCTTCTTTGTCTCTCTTAGATTTGGAATTCTCAATCAGCTTGTGTGTAATTATTGCTAGAGGGAGATTTCTGGTTGAGGGAAAGGCGCAAAGCCGAAGGTTGCAATAAATAGTCATGGCCCATGTGACCCTCACGTTGATAGCCGCGATGAGTCAGAAATGACGAATTGATTAGCTACACGTCTGCGTTGCTTCACTGTTTGATAGAAGTATTCAAGTTTCGTGCACACACATAACTATAATTACTCGAAAGAGTTGATTTAAATGAAAAAATTCTAATGGATTAAGTAAATAATTTTGAATTTAAATTCTTATGTATGTAAATTTTTTTTAAATAGTTTAACAAAATAAAGAATGATTAATTTTAATTTTTGAGCCTCAGATACTTTAAAGATCTAAAAATAATATAAATATTTATTAATTATTTATTCGTAACAGCTTGAAATTGTCTCTTTACAATTTAAATAAAAACGATGAGCTCTTTTTATTAAATTGTATTTAATTACTTTTTATAATGATTACAAAACAATGAGCTAAATTACAAAAATATAAAATAATTTTTTATTATATATTAAGTGAATTTATTTAACAGTTTTGAATCACTTGTTATAAAATAAATAGTTTTTTTAAGAATGTATTTTGAGTCTTAATCGTGCAATAATATCAATAACTAACATGATTACAAAATAATTAGATAAATTATTGAGTAGTAAATAAAATTATTACGATAGAATTAAAAAAAAACTAATAATTTGTAACTTATTCAAGTAACTATAGAAATGGTAAAAAAAAAATTCCTTAAATAATTAATTAAGATTTCACAACGTTTAACATTGCGCCATGCACTTTTTATATACGGTCCACGGTCGACGTACATAAACAGGACCAGGACTTGAGACTTGATCCAACTATCATATTCGCAGCGCGCAAATTCATTGAAGATTGACGATGGCCTTTAGATGGTAAAATGAACTTCATTATGGTATTCCTTTACAAACAAAAAAATATCGGTATGGATAGGGTAATGCCCCGAGGAATGTAAAAACTTCGGTCCAGTCAAAATGCACAATTGATGCAGCGGCCAGCGGGGGTAGATACCAACTTTGAACATTTTTTTGTAAGTGCGTACGTGGTTTTGAAGTTTCCATCTTTTCAAGACTCCCTACTAAAAAAGCCGCCGGCATATCCAATTAATTTACCAGCCAGAAATAAGCAGCTCATAGTCTCGTTTTGGAGAATCATGAAGAACTCATTTTCTTTGAGGATAATACTAGGTGGCATCTAGAATTAATTGTTTTCACTGATTTCTTTATTTTCAAAAAATATACTTTTGGTTTTCCTTGAAAAAATAAAGTTACTGTTCTTTATACGAATAAATATAATAGCCACAAGCTGGAATATAAATCACATATATGTAGTTTTATCTAGTTTGATTTTGATTACTAATAACAAATTAAAAATGCTAAAATCAAATAGATGAACACTTTACTTTTCTAAAAACAAGGTGTATAATTAAAAATTAATTGAAAAATATTATGCAGTTTGTAAATAAAAGATAGATTACAATAGCTTTCTATTTCTAAGGTATCATGAAATTATTACAAATACTATTCAAAACTTTGATAATTTTAAAGGAATCTTTTCGGATTTAAGCAAATATTATAGAATCAATTTTTAGCCAGACTACCCCTTTTATATTAAAATGACACATTACCTAACTATTTTGATCTTATAATTTCAATATTAGTTAATATTGTTATATATTTTATTTATCAAGATTCTACGTATAATACTTATAACGTATTCAAAGATAGATGTGTCACATTACCTCGAGAACTAAAAGCATTATAATAAAGAAATGATAACAAAACAAAATAAAAAAGTTATAAAAATTCAACCAACAAGAAAAAAAATACAAAATGTTAATTAAAATAATTTAAAAAATATGAAAACTATATATCAACAAATATACACTAAAAAAAACCAATAAAATAGCGAGGAATTATTCATCGCTATTATTTTTTAGCGATGGCTTTGTGATAATATTTTTCACTAACTAAAACGGTTATTTCTATTTTTTTAGAGATAGAAATTGTTGTCCGTCGTCGATCAACAATGGTTTTTTCGTCGCTAATGTGAAGCATTTTCATCGCTAAATTGAAGTAAACGAGTCATTTTTCAGATCTTGAATTTGTCATAAAACCGTCACTATTTCTTGTATTGTTGTCGCTATTTAGCGATGGATTACCGTCACTAATTATACTCGCTAAATTCCTTGCAAATCCATCGCCATTTATTTAGAGACAGAAATGGTTGTGTGTCGTCGATTAGCAATGGTTTTTTCGTTGCTAATGTGAAGCATTTTCATCGCTAAATTGAAGTAAACGATCATCTTTCGGACCTTGAATCTATCATAAATCCTCACTATTCCTTGTATTGCCATTGCTATTTATCAATGGATTTGCCGTCACTAATCATACTTGCTAAACTTCCTTGCAAATTCATCGCTATTTAGCGATCGTCGATTATTGACCCACGCTAATTCGATTGCTGATTTGTCGATGAATAAAGAAATTTTTTTAATAAATTAATAACCGTTTAATGTTAATAGTAGTTGTCGCTATCCGACTTTCGAGGGACTCCCAAAAAATTTATGATTTACTTAAAAATTTTTGTTTGTTTGGAGGTGTGAGTTATTTGTTAATTTTGGGACTCGTCACCTAGTATTGAAGGAACTAAGAACCTAAAAGGGCACCGAGCTAGGGGATTTTAGAGTGAGGAGTTGGTTATATTTTTAGAAAGATATCAATCATCTAAAAGTATTATTTTCCAATAAAGATACCATGTCTAGTTTAGTAAAAAAACTTATCTCATAAGAGGCTTTATTTGTGTCAAATTATTTCTAATTTGAACTCTAAGTTCTATTTCTTAGGCTAAATTAATTAATTTTCTTTTTATTTACGAGATCATATTGAATCGATCATTGGACCCCTCTATTGAGAGTCACGTCAATTCAACATCGGATCTAATTTAAGTCTCGATATAATCGATATGTCGGAGAAAAATCTAATTAATAAAGTGATTTATTTTGATTAACATCGACCTTATTGGACATGAGACTTTGTTATTTTTTACTTGCTATTCTTTATTTTTCTATTTTATTCTTTATTTTATTTATATAGGATTTTTTTCTTCTTATGATAATTTTTTCTACCTTTTTTTTGTTCTTATTTTATTATTTTTTATTGGTGAGGAATCGTCATTGGTCCCTAAAAATTAGGAGACTTGACGATTCATTCATCGATTAATTATCTATCTCGATTCTTGTAAGAACACTTAAATAATTAAGCTTTGATTAAATAAACAAATAAATAAAGGAACAATTCAAAGATATTAAATGTAAAGTAGGAATGAAAATAAAAGGCATATATTAGAAAAATTCAGATATGATTCTCTAGGAAAAAGGGCTAAAAATGAGGTTATTGGGCCCTCCGGGTTCATTGGGCTTTCGACCCGGTGGGTCGGGCCGACTTGGGATGAAGGTAGCCCTCTTTTCCTTTTTTTTTTGTTTGTTTTTCGGTTAGGCTAGTCCTAGCTCAACTCATTTCTATGTTTTTTTGGGTTGGGTTTATTCTATTTTTTTCCTTCATTTTCGATCAAGAATGAACCCAATCCTCTTCCCGTTTCTCTCTTTCTCTCTTTCTTTTCCCCTTCTCTTCTTTTCTTATTTTTCCTTTCTTTCTTTCTCTATTCTTACTCACTCATTACATTCTACTCTGTTTCATTTCATCCTCTCTTACCCGAGTGTCTTTTCACACAAAAATCAACTCGATAGCATGTTTATCATCCAACTACCAAGAACATAAATGAGAATTAAGCGACGAGGGCTTACTCTAGTGATGGGTTCACCATTGTCATTCTCTGTTTAAAGCTTGAAATTATGAGTAACCATAGGTATAAGATCAATAAAATGGATAATGGACAAGCACAAGTTACTCGAATACGATTGATAATAAAAAATAATTGGATTTTAATGTTGGTATTGTTATTGCTCCTCTACTTGCAGGTGATTGAAAGCTACTTGGTGTATTAGATTTGTGTAGGATTGTGCGATCAAGGACTTATGATTGTGTTGTTATTGTGATTGAGGAATGAACAAAAGATCAAAGAGAATAATTTTTGGTGCTTTTCGAAACTCGGAATACCTAAACAAACCCGGGAACTTTCGAGTGCTTGCAAATGATGAGGATGATTGATGGATTGATATGGTGACAAACGAACGATATGGAGCTTGTTGTTAGCATGATTGATGACTCATGAATGCTTGTAAGGATGATTTTTAATGTTTCTTGAAACCCAAAAAGCTTGAGCAAACCCGGAAAACCAAGAACGAAATCCAAAAATTTAAGACCAAACCTAGATGTTCATCCAAAAACCTAGAACTTCAAACGAAACCTAAAAAACTAAGCAAATCAACCTAGAAACTTAGAAAACCAAATGCCCGGATTTATTACTTTTACTCTCTCTATTTTGATTTTGATTTTTCTCTTTCAATTCCCCCTCTTTGGCCTCTAAACTACTTCTATTTATACTCAATTTTTGCTAACCAAAAATAATTTTTCCTCTTCTTTCTTTAATGTCAATCGTTCAATCAAAACACTTTCTCTCTACCTCGCTTTTCGTTATTTCCTAATGTTCTAATCTTTTCTATTTTTTACAACATGACTTACGAAGCAAGCAAAGGAAGGATCAATGAGGTGTTGAGTTTCTCGACCCTTTGACTTAGGATTAGTCAATTCTATTTCTCGACGGGGGCAAGGGAAGGGATATAACTCAATGGTAAAGTGTCACCTTGACGTGGTGAAAGTCATCGGTTCGAGCCCGATTATCACTAAACCCAATGTGAGTTTTTCTATTTTGACTTGCTCCCCTCCGGTCGTGATCGAATCGGCCAAATTGACCTAGTGGA